TGTGAAGGTATATGCCCGATAGATTTCCTGTTTAGGAGCTTCATTTTGCATTTTTGGTTCCTGTTGATCCTCTAATATGTATTTGCGTTTTGATAAATGTTATAGGAATTATCATCAGACTCGTCACAACATGTCAGATCTGCTTTGGCTTCCGTTATAATGGGGATGGCTCCTGTTTTGGGAAAGGTGAGGTGCTTTAGTTTCTAGATGAGCAAAATATTGGCAATGCATTTTTAATGATATAGATGGTAGATGCATTGTTGGAAGGTCCGGAATTTACTGTGGTATGTCATATACTAATGCTATGAGTTGCTGAAGATAATCTCTATCTTGGGAAAGCTTTTCACATCATGCAATGCACATTCGTGTTTGATTGAAGCATTAAGATTTACCTATGAAATAATTTGACTTCTATTTGTGCATTTGATGCAGGATGCAACCATTGAACATCTTCTTCCAATATTTCTTTCCCTTCTGAAGGACGAGTTTCCCGATGTGCGCCTGAACATCATTAGCAAGCTTGATCAAGTCAATCAGGTTGGTGAACGATTCACACATTTTTCCTGTAGTTTGCAATTGATTATGAGACTGGTGAACTATTTGCTGCTTGATTTTGGAACTGGTATGCCATATGTTGTGATGTGTATTTTAGTGATGCACGGACCCTAAAATAGAGAAGGCAATCTAAATCCTTTAACATACTGAACTCTATCTAGTATACCATTTTTTGTTCTCAGTGTTATCCTAGTATGTTGTTTAGTGTGTTCTGATCATCACACTATCTGTTGTTACTTGCTGTATTTTCCTCATTCTCCTTCTTGTACCTGGATTTGCTGCACTTGAGCCGCCTACTCCTTTTTGTAAAATTTGACATCAAGGATCTTCTTGTTTAGTCACTGTCTTTAGCTGCTTGCACTTTGCATTGGTTCCTAACACTCTGCAGCTTTCAATTATTAATTTATTTATTAATTAATATTATTATTATCTTTTAGTTTAGTTTTACTTCTTTCCTAACTCTCAATTTCTCTAAATGTTACAGGTGATTGGAATTGATTTATTGTCCCAATCTCTATTACCAGCTATTGTCGAGCTGGCAGAGGACAGGCATTGGCGAGTCCGTCTTGCAATAATAGAATACATACCTCTATTGGCAAGTCAATTGGGCATAGGATTTTTTGATGATAAGCTGGGTGCTCTTTGCATGCAATGGTTACAGGACAAGGTTGGTATTCGATAAACTGGCTGTTAGATATTCATATAAAATTGATGAAGCGTAAAACCTTGATCTTGGTGCATGAGAAGCTCCATTGAAAACTTATTTCAATCTTTCTCAGTCTCTCTTCCACTTTCTTTCTTATTGCAAGTGGAAAACGTGTTGGGACATTTTCTGGAGTGGAATTACCCCCAACTTTTCCGTGATAGTTAATGTTTTTTTTTGTTATCTATTCATGAATGTGAAAAGGCAATTTGCTTTTACCAATCAGTTGATGGGACAATATCTCTACCACTGATATCTTCCTTGCTGATTCTTTGATGCAGGTTTATTCAATTAGAGATGCTGCTGCTAATAACTTGAAACGTCTTGCAGAAGAATTTGGTCCAGAGTGGGCAATGCAGCATATAATTCCTCAGGTTTGCTTGACGTGTGATAATTTGAATTGCTAATTCTCTTCCATGATGTCTTTTTTTAAAACAAACAAGTTCAGTGAGTCATATGGGATATAGCTTCTCTTACTACATGAAGTTGATGGGACCAAGGTGCATGAGTAGGGGAGAAGGGTAGAGTCTATCACTATTTTGATAGTTTTGAATTGTATGTATATTTACCCCAAAGTTCTTATAAAAATTTGCAATTGCCCTTTCCCGACCTCAAGACACTCATGGTCGGTATAGTCAATCATAAACTGGTTTCCTTCCATTTTTCTCCTGCTATCTGGAGAGGTGAAAACTGAAGATTTCAGGAAAGGAATTAGGGGTGTACCTGTTTGTCCTCCTATTTAGGAAGTTTACCTCTTAGGCTGAGAACTAGAGAAGGAAAATAGTTCTCCATGGACTCGTAGAGTTTCTAAGCTCCAGCTTTTGCCATGATCGATTCCAATTATGTTCTTTCTCTCAGTTAGAAATGTCTTATTTTGCAGGTCTTGGATATGACTACCAGTCCACATTATTTGTATCGAATGACTATTCTTAGATCAATTTCATTACTTGCACCAGTAATGGGCTCTGAGATAACTTGTTCTAAGTTGCTGCCTGTGGTTGTTACTGCTACTAAGGATAGGTGATTTTTCTTTCTCAGTATTTAACTGGTTTTGTACCTCAAGTCCTTGAACTAATCAAAAGTTTTATCTAATTCCAGAGTGCCCAACATTAAATTTAATGTGGCAAAGGTTTTGCAATCCCTTATACCTATTGTTGACAACTCGGTGAGAATCCTCTCCTCATTTCTTGTTTCTTGGTTGCTTATACTTGGTTTGTTTTGGGAAACGAGTGAGCTTTTCTACAAAGTTACGCTCTTTTTTGACAATGCGGATGATATCATAAGGAAGTTCTCAAAAAGCTAAGATTCCAAAGCTTCTCTGATAGTTTTCCTATAATCTAACTGTCCGTGCTTATTTCAATTGTCTAGGTGGTGGAGAAAACCATTCGGCCCAGTTTAGTAGAGCTAGCTGAAGACCCTGATGTCGATGTTCGCTTTTATGCCAATCAAGCACTCCAGTCGATCGATAACGCCATGATGTCAGGTTAGAGAAACTAAACATTGTCAGGTGAGAGTAGTACAAATCTCTCTTCTAATCCCTCTTCGGTAGTCTTGGATTATGCTCTCACACGAAGAAGCAAAAGGGGAAAGGTGTACAATGTAAAATGCATCGTGTTGAGCTTGGAGTCGTATATTGTTGTTACTAATTCTTTTGTAGGATTCGGCATTCAAGATGCTGTGACACTAATGAAGACCTGAGTGTTTTTTCATGTAAAGCTGCTGCCATACTTTACTATTTGGATCTGCTAAGCTCAATTTGTATTTGTTTTTGTTAGTGTACTTTTGAGGTTTGAAATTACAACATTTTAGCTGTGTTACTCTAAGCAAATTTGTCTTTATATTAGTGTTTGCATTTCTTAGCCTAAAAATGTTTGTGCACTGGCCCCCCACCCCACCCACATTCCACCCCGTTGTAATTTTTACTTTACGTCGTTTACTGTCGAATCACCTTATGAGGATTAGTGTTTTAAATGAGGTTAATAATGTGTATTGTTTAGCCCAGGTTAACTGATTACAGTTTATATGAAGAAGCTTGCTATTTATTTGTTGAGTAGATGTAAAAAACAGAGTGTTTTAATGTTTTTCCCGGGCTTTTATTATGAAGAGCAGAAGTCACCAAAAGCTAGAGTTGTCAACATTTCAGAAACAACCTCTCTCCCTCAAGGTAGGGGTAAGGTTTGTCTACGCAATACCCTCTCCAGACCCCATTTGGGGTACGTATGTTGAATTTTTTTAACATAAGCACAATCGAGAAATTTTTGAATATTATTGGCACATTGTTAGGAATATGTGGACAATGCGTCTGCTCCTCTACCTTCCTCGACCTCCACTTAAATACTTCGTCTTCGATTTGTTGTAATTTTTAACGTACGTTTGTCTTCTTACATATGACACGTTTCGGTTATTATTACTAGACTAAAGCCCTGAGCACCATTTTTGTCTGTCCAACCTTTCCAGAATTTACGAATATTCATGTATTAAGATTAACCTTTTCGAAGTTACTCCTTTTAAGTTATTTATTTGGCAATAATGAACTCATCAAGTATGAAATATTGCTGATATTTCTACTACGAAAGGGAATTGAAAAAAAAAGGTAAACATCAAAATCTTTTAAAACTACTTAAATGCAATCCATCTTTTGTCTGATTTTGATTTGACATGATGTATAAGAAAGTAACTTTTTTTTTTTTCGAAGCTTGCGGTTTTAAATTAAAGATTAGTAGAATGTATTAAAATATTCTTTAATTTTGTGGTACTGACTTTTCTTAAAAACAAATTGAAATGAATGAAGTATTTATTTTGTCAAACTGTTTGGTAATGTCTTTTTCGTTGTAGTAATTGGTACCCTCAGTATAGGGCAATTCTTGGCCTTACATTTTACTTACCACCAAACTCATTTTTCCTAGTATATATTTGAATTAAATTTTATATAGGGCATTTCTTGACCTTACATTTTACTTGCCACCAAACTCATTTTTTTTTTCTTAATATATTTGAATAATTTGTCTTAAATCTTTTGCTACGAGTTACGACCATCAAGGAGGGACTAGTGACGGCAAAATTACCCCTGAAAATATAATTTGTTTAACTGAGTTATTAATCCGTTCATTTATTAGATATATAGTCCAAATCGGTTAATTATCAAATATATTAGGGAGATATTTTTCTTTCCAAATTTTAGGCTAATATATAGTCTTTATCACAAGTTTTCGTTCTTCAGACAACTTATATTCGAAACCTCTAGTAATATTTGAACCGTCATAAACAAGGTATGCAAAGCTTCAATATTATCCCTTAACTAACCCATGAGTTTGACTGTTTCTTTTAAAGATCGACCATACACCTAGCACTATACAAAAATAGTTTTAGAACTTTGTCGCTAAATAGCTCATAACTAACAATTTTTTTGTTATGATCTATCGCTAAATAAGATTAACTATGAATTTTACTGTTTAACTACAAAATCTATCTGTTGCACGCTAAGTCTTATTTCCTTCTAGTATATGATACTTAGTAAACAATATGAGGGGGATTCTTTCATTACATGAAATAGGTTATGGCACATCAAAAAGGAAAAAAAAAAGTGTGACTTTTACACATGGTGGTTGAGACATAGTTAACCGTAGAAAGGTGGATGTCATGCCTATAAACTTATAAGCCTTCAACCACCAAAAACTACATTCTCTTATTTTTTTCCCCTATAAATAAGAGCTTCACTTGAATACATTTCCCATATAAAGCTAACAATCTCATCTTATACACTACAAAAATAAAAATATAAATTAGCGACATACAATTTTGTAGCTAAACAACATAATTCGTTACTAATCCTATTTAGTGACGGATTAGCAACAATTATCAATATTTTTATATAGTTACCAGCAATTTAACGACGAAGTTCGTAGCTAATTCCGAGAGATATATTCCATTATGCCTCTTCTCAATAATCATATTGTGTCTCTTTTTTTGAGTGCCAATAAATCAGATGGAGTAAGAAGAAAAAGAAGGAAAGAACCCTATCGAAGTTTTCTGGTATTGTTTCTAACTATACAAAACGTTAGATTCATGTAGATAATTAAAATCACACTAGCTACTTGTGATTAAAAAAAATAGTTTAAATAGTTTTATGACTTTACTGTTGTTATGACGACTAAAATTCATTTAGTTTGATGCGAAAAAAAAGCTTTATTGTGATTTTAGTGTTATGATGAGTAAGAAGTTAGTGACTATACGTGAAATTAACCCTCGTGTTGCCTCAAAAGTTCAAATTTGTAACCTAATTAACCTTTGTTTGTAGTAGGGGCAGATCCACTATTATAGTTATGGGTTTAGCAAGAATCAATATTTATCGCACAAACTATGTGTTTATGATAAAAATTTCATCTACTATGTATACATAGAAAAATTATTATCACCAAAAATTGATAAACTAGATATTCTGAATCTGCCTCTAGATTCTAGACTTCTTCTTGTAGTGTTATTGTTATTTCTTTTCATCTTCTTATTTTTAATGTCTAGCTTGTTAGTTAGGGCAAATGATATCTAGACAAATCCTCTAAACTATTAAGCTTATATACTTATAATTTGTAAGTTTTGAAATTCATGCAAACATATTGAAAAAAAGATAACACACAATAAAAGTAAAATATATAGGTGATATTAGAAATATGTTTTCCTCATGTTAGTACGTTTAGTTTAGAAAATATAGAATTTAAATCTCACCTTTTTTTGTTTTTTTTGTTTATTGTTTTTTTCAGGTTACAATTTGGTAAATCATTTGGAACATTCATTTGAGCAAGAAAGTTAGAGTTAGTACGACGATGAAGGTACGAGGATGATGTTGTTTTAGCTAACCTCAACCTCGGACCTTCATCTATAACGTCAATTATGACGTAGGCGCACACGTGGAACGTTCATCACCACTATTTCACATAATATTTCACTCAAGAAAATTTTGTTCATGGCCCAAAGACAACATGAAGTTTGTTAGTCAAGGCCTATATACATAACACAACAAAAAACGCCTCTAGTGGCAATAACAAATGTTACTTGGAACAGAGGTAGATTCAAGATTTATAATTTTGTTGATTCAATAATATATTAAAGAGTATCAACATTGTTTTCATTATATTATTATAGTTATAGGTTCATATCTGTTATTAATTGTACTTTTAGTAAATTTCTACATATAAATTTATATATCGTACCAAAAGTAATAGGTTCAGATGATACTGTACCAAAATACTATATTCGCCTCAAAACAAACATTCAATTGATAGTCATGAAAACAATCTCTTGCAAAAATATAATGTTAATTAAAATTGTATACAATATATTCAATTTAATTAATCAAAATTTTCTCCCACACATAACTAGAGCTTAATGCACCGAATTGTCCTTAATATTCTTGATAGTTTATTAAGTGTATTTCTACCAGTGAAGTCTGAATTTAATCAAGACCATGTGATACTCATATTCATATTAATTTGGGTTCCTGTGTAAATAATATATGAGACAAAATCCTAATAAACTTTATATTGTAATTGACATTTTTTCATCAATAGTTCTTATTTTGTCTCAATTTGAGTTTCTGGAACGGCAATTATTATTTTCTGGTTCATGTACATATATAATCTTTTCAATGAATAATTAAAGTACTTTTTCCTGTTTGTCTTCTTATTTATGTCATTTTACCGCTTGTTTAGATCTAGAGAATCAAAACACAACGACAATGACATATCCAGTTGTAACACTATAAATTACAAATAGGATACAAAAATAGTGGTGTCTACGAAATTTTATTCTTATCTTGTGAAGGTAGATAACTGTTTTAGATAAATCTTCAGCTTAGGTAAACCATAAACCCTATCAATATCAAATAATGAAAGGAAATATATTAGTCAAGAAGTCATGCTAAAATTTTAATTATCGCATTATTTTGTTGTTATAACTGTCCTCATTTATGTATTCTTTTTTTCCAAATTGTCCGGAAATGTTTTATTTTGAGCCAAGAGGGTTTATCATATACAACCTCTCTATCTCTATGAGGTAGAGGTAAGGTCTGCCAACATTATTGTTTCTCAAAATCTTACTTGTATGGAATTACACTGGGTATATATACTGTTAAAGAAGTCATGCTAAAAATAAAATAAGAGAGCAATAACAACAACAAATAATACGATAATTGAAACAAAGAAAATAATAAGTAATTATACAACTAAATAATAAGATGATATGAGAACAATAATTATAACAATAATGACAAATAAAACTAGATAATATTCAATTACCTACTAACGTTCTACCTTAATTCTTGATCTCTATACCCTTCTATTTAAGTTCATATTTTCAAAAAGTTGCACTATTGAAATAATTTTGTTTTAACATATACTACTTTCCATTTCACATGTTTGCCATAGTTGGACTATAAGTTTAATCTTAATATTTATATGATTATAGGACATTTGAAGTCCATAACTCATGCTATCGTATTGTGTGATTATAAAATTTTCCTATTTATCAGAAAAATAATATAAAACTCCATTTTTTTTATTTTAAAAGAACTAACAAAATGCCAAAATAAATACAACAGAGAAAATACTATTAAATTCTCTTAATACTTATCCTGGACAAGTACACGTGCCCATACGAATGCCATGTCACTTCACTATGACCAACCTTCTTGTCTTGTTGTGGGCAGCGAAGCTTACACTTGTTCACTAATTATGACGGTTTACCAGGGCCTCTTTTCTCCTCCCTTTTCTGCTCACTCGTAGGGGTCGGGACCCCCACAAAGGGAGAGGGAGTCGACTGAACATCTCAGCCATTGGCGGAAATTTCGCCCACATCCGATCCCCAATTCTTGTTCACCCCGGATGATTGTGTTGTGTTTGATTGAATATAAAAGGGTAAAAAACTTAAGTATACAAATTAAGTACCTTAATTACTACTATATAGCAATAGTTTTTTTTTCGTCTATATGACAATAGTTTTTTTTCAAAAATAGGATTTAATATAAAAAAATAAGACAGAAAAAGTCAAGCCACGATTTATTAAGATTCCCTGATTTCCTCCAATTCTTTTACCTTCCACGATTTACTCAAATCAGTTATATATTCTCTCCCATTAAAAAAAAGGTTTTTTAACAAAAATAAAACTCTCTTTCTACACGTTCTGGTCAACTGTTTATTCACGGATACTAACAAATTTTCAATCCTAATTCAACACAACGGACGATGAGACGCATCAGGTATTTTAGATAAATCGCGATTGATTTGGGTGTTTTTTAAGTGATTATTTTAGTGATTACATGTTTTTTGTGTTACAATCTGAATTAAGGACGTTTAAAAATCACTTTTGTAGATTGAATTTGTCTATATTGAGTGGTGTAATTGATCGTGTAATTTACGTTGTTTGTATTCACCAATTTCGTGATATTTTTTTGGTAATTATTGTTTGATTTAATTTGTAGGATTTTGTGGTTTATTATAGAATTCGTATTTCGTGAATCTGTTTTAGTAAATTAGTTGCTGAAAATAATGATGTTTTTAAGTTGGTGTATAAACAATACAGTTTATACAGAAATATTGGTAGATTAATATGTGTAATTGATAGTGTGAAAGGTGAAGATGATTTGGTGTAATTGGTATTGCTTATTATGTTTTCATAAACAACATAAGTCATAAAAAGTGAATAAATTTTGGTATATTAGTAGGAGAAATTAATATTTTATTTGACATAATATGGTATATTATGATTTAAAGGGACGTCGACATTCTTTTATATTTTTTGGTTTATATTTAGTTGGTGTAAATTTTATCAACTTGTTATTGAAGTATATGGTATATGGTGTAAATGTGCGAGTTTGGTGTAATATATTTATGGTATATATATATTGAAGTATATGGTATATCAAACTTTTATATTAGGTTTTTAATACCACCAACATTCTTTTAGTTTTTGGTATATTTTGATAGTGTAGTTGATGTATTTATTTATATATATATATATATATATATATATTGAAGTAATTGTTAATTTTTTAGTTATTCATAAACAACATATTTGAGATAATATTTTCATGTAAACAAAAACAATCTGAATACAAAAAGTTTGGATACATTGAAATCACCATTCTATTTGTAATACAGGTAGATACGTTGATTACGATATTGAAAGAGTGATATATGATGCGAACATCAAATATTCCAGCACATATTTTGAAAGTGATAATGATACCATCAATTACAAAAAAATAACCAGCCAAACCACCGACTAATGATCGTAAGAAGGGACTCAACGAAGGGAAATTCAAGAGGAGTAAAGTCACTTGTAGTAAATGTGGTACATCAGAGCATAACAAAAAGACTTGCCCAATATTGCTTGTCAGAATTAACATTGATGTATTATTTTCAATTATTTTTTGGCAAGAATTCTGAAATTTTTTAAGAATGTTAATTGCACTTTTGTCCAACTTTGATTACTGTTGTTTGGTTTATTGATATTATATTGATCAATTAATTGTCATATCATTGGTATTGATAAGAAATAAAATATGTGATTTTCAACCATTTGAACTATGATAAAAATTGATTGGGTAGTTAAAGATATTGGTGTAATTATTGTCAAAACGTTAAAAATTGATTGTTAGTTAAATACAATGTTGCATTCTTGGTGAAAAACACAATACAAAATGTTCCAAATAATTGGTTCTATATATTATGACTGAATGTTGGTGTTATATTCAAACCTACCACAATAAATTTATACCATGATCAAAAAATAAAGGGGCATTTTGACAATCACTGAAATACAACATTGTGATGTATTCTTCATTCATTTGAAAACAAAATGTGTAATTACTTAATATTGGTGTAATAAACACATATACACAATTAGTGTAATACCCGTAATTTAATTAGTTCACACGTTTATAATAGTAGACGTATGAGTTAGCAAAAATATTGATATTATATACCAACTTCAAATCACCATAATATTGGTGTAATAATGACATGGAAATAAAATCTTGATTGTATATATTGGCTAAATTATTGGTATTATACACCAACCTCACATTGATGTGTGTGTGTGTGTTTTTTTTTTAATGTTTTGGTCTAGAACTTTTATCCAACTTTCATTACAGTTGCTTGGTTTATTGGTATTTGAGTGATTAACGTACACATACACAATAGGTGTACTAGAATTGTAATTAATTCACAAATTCGTAATGATTCAAGAAAAAATTAAACGGAAGAAGATGGAAGGATTTAGACTTTTGACAGATGAAGAAAATGTTTGAATTTACCTAGGGAGTAACTATCAACTTTATTGGTAACATAAAAGGTTGCATTAAAAAAGAAAGAAAATAAATATGATCTGCAAGGCCATTAAATGTAAAACGAGGAGAGAATAAAATCAAGGAAACGTGTATGGATGAATCTGTAATTGGAAAGATGAAATTAATAAAATTTAATATCCTAATTATACTCTACACAAAAAAGGCATGTAATACAAAAAATATGAGAGAGAAAATAAAAAAATTAAGAGATAAACCTGATAAAATTTAATATCCTAATTATACTCCAAAGAAAAAGGCACGTACTACAAAAAATGGAGAGAGGAAAATCAAAAATATTAATTTACATAAATACGAAAATTAATTATTTTGTTATGTTTGTAAATTAAAAACTATGTTTATAATTAAATAGAAGTATGTTGATATTTTGTTAATTAAAGTGTTAAGTAGTATATTATTGTAATTTTTCCAATATATTATAAAATTTATAATTTTTAAGACTAAAGTAAGGTGTCTAAGAGTCCGTTTGGCCATGCAATATGAAATTGTGATATGAAATCACGATATTATATCATAATATAAAATTATGAGATAGATCAGTAGTTCATAAAAAACGACAAGTGACATGTTACAAACCATCTCTATAGTAAACATAGATAAGTAATCGTAAAAAATGACAAGTGACATGTTACAGATCATACATTATTCTCTATAGTAAACTAGAATAGTAATTCTTAAAAAACATAAGTGACATGTTACAAACCATACATTATTCTCTATAGTAAACATAAATCGTAATTCAACAAAAACGATAAGTGACATGTTACAAA